AAATCCGGATGAAATGTCCAGGTACAAGTGCAAAGTACAAAGAATCCACAGCTCTCCTGCTCTCTCTCCCCATTCCGGCTCCCTCTTTAGTTCATTTCTGTGCCATCGATTCGTTCTGCAGTCAGCTCCACAACACCCCTTTTTACAGAACAATGAATGCGGCTGATCGATGTCATGGACAGATCGTGTCTCCTCTAAAATAGCTTCTTCCATGTTCGCTTTGGCGGAAACCGCTGCCCTTCTTCCTTCCGGTGCCCGTAAGTCGATTTACGTATCGGAATATTTGACGAATGCTACTTTAGTGAAGTAGAGGCCGGCAAGCACTGTGCAGTGAAGCAAAACTGTTACCATACAGCAGATCGAATGTACCCTTCCCCAGTTACGACAACCAGTCCTTCTACGATTCGTTCATTCGTTTCAGTGGTAAATTAGCACTGGCACATTGCTGGGGAGTTAAACCCGTCATCAGCCTGATTGTAAGGAACCCTCGAAAGAAGAAGCTATCGACTATTGCTGCTAGTACTGCTAACCACTCAGGCTACTTCTCGAGTGCTTCCGCCTCTCACTGAAAGCGAGCAAGAACAAGGAGTTTTTTTGTTCTCAGTTGTAGAAAATGCCAAGACTACCCGGAAAACTGTACATCTATAATTAGAACGCTCCGCCTGTTCGATGTATGTGAGCCACTTCATCGAAGTTTTATTACACAGAAATGCGCGAAAATATACAAAAAAAAAAACCGGAAAAGTCTCTTTGCCAGATATACGTTACAAAACAACTGAACAAGGCTGTTCACAAATACGCCACACGACCAACCTATGCATCAAGTGTTCAGAGTTTGAAGCAAAGAGAGAGGAAAAAGCCAGCCAAAAAGCATGCAACAACTGCAGTACAATCGGAAATAATGGATATGCGATGACAGTAATTCATAAAGGTACAGGGGGAATAAAACTGGTGAGCGCACGCGCCAGACGCCAAAATGAAGGAGAAAACGTACGTCACATGAATATTACAGGAAAAACCACCAACGATTGCCAGCAATAATTGACAATCA